CCAAAGTAATAAAGACATCGAAAAAGTGATAGCAGAATTAGATTCTGCACTAAAAATCACGTGAAGATGCCAAGTTTCATTCATATATATATATATATGAGCAATTGCCAAAACGTGAGACTCTCTTGAGACTCAGTGGTGCAAAAAAAATTTTCTTACCAATTTGACTCTCTTTTCTGTCAGCAATTATGCAAATTTAGATGGCCAAAGTATGCAAGACAATTGAAAAATTTTGCAAAAATTATGCAAATTTTCGTAACACCATTCACGACATGTTTTGCCCTTTTTCAACAAGAATTTTCATGTTTCAGATCTATGTACAGAAGAATGAAAACGGAACATATCTGTATCAGTAGTCAGTCAGGAAAAAAAACAACAACCAAAAAATATAATCTCTAACTCTAACTTTCAGCAGTATGGAGGAAGAAAAATGTTATTTTAAAAAAAGACATCCGTACCTCTGATGCTAGCACATCACTAAAACCAGAGACACCTGGCAAACATGAAACATGATCAGCAGACATGAGAACAACTTTTGATGGATTGTTAGATTGAACATGCTCAAGGAATAAAAATCCCTTACAAGGGAAATAACCAACTTGTCACTTAAATGAGACTTATTACTGTGGTCACTTCCCTTTAATCACATGGCGAGGCGTTAAATTGTTTTGTGAAATTTTTAGAATTAAAAACGTGATAAAACGCGGGGAATAAAAAATTATGCAAATGTTGCAGACTTATATATATATAGATCTATATATGTGCGAAACAACTTTGCAAAGATTTGAATTCATCTACAACTGTCTTTATAGAATGGACATGTGTGTATCAACAAGGCATGTTTTTTAATTGAAACGAGCATAAGCATAACTAATTCATTTGCATAGTTTAAATTTTAAGTTTAATAACACTTATCTAGATGTTATTTATTAACCTGTTAGTTTAACATAAGATAAGATAATACTTTATTATCCCAGAGGGAAATTTTTCTGTTTCCCACTGTTACACGTTACAATTTGGTTAATTATGCATATCGTCGGCAGAGAATTCTAACCGTCTAACTCGAAATTTTCTCGAATTGCTTTTTTCCTTAAAATAGATCGACATAACGAATGGCTACGTCCTATTAAAATCTAGAACAATTTTGACAAACAAAAGTCTTGTTTTAAAGAGAAATTCTAACCGTATATTCCGACTGGCTTCCGTGACTGAAGAATTCTAACTGTCTAACTTGTTTAGGTAGTCCGCCATTGTGGATCACGGCGATAACGTTTTGCTCTAAAGGAGGCATTTGATTATAAATAAAATTCTTTTTTCCTGAAAATAGATCGACATGACGAATGGCTACGTCCTATTAAAATCTAGAACAATTTTGACAAGCAAAAGTCTTGTTTTAAAGAGAAATTCTAACCGTATATTCCGACTGGCTTCCGTGACTGAAGAATTCTAACCGTCTAACTCGTTTAGGTAGCCCGTCATTGTGGATCACGGCGATAACGTTTTGCTCTGAAGGAGGCGTTTGATTATAAATAAAATGTAAAATCAGAAAAGGCTGCTTTTGTTAAAGGGTTGGTTGACTGTGTTGAGCCTGTGGAGAAAAAGGAGAGAGAGAGAAAGCAGAAGATCGTGGTCCATGAAGTAGCCTACCATCTGCGAGTGAATGGGGCCAGAGTCAAAGAGTGCACGGCTTTCTTCTTAAGTCCTGTACTTTGTTACTAGTGTATTCATATTGTTCTCACATGTGGTTGGGTGTAGCAGAGGGTGAGGTTCCAGTTCAGAGAAAAAGGGTTAGGGAGGAGACTACAGAATGAAAGGTACTTAAACAGTTTCTTTGTGATCTGCCCAAGTTGCCATCTCGCTATTGCCGAAGGACTCCAGTAAGTTATACTTGGAACCTGTTTTCCAGAGCTTACAGGCAGTGTACCGCCGTTTGTATAAAGAAAAGTATGAGTGTGTGTGTGTGTGTGGGGGGGGGGATATGTGTATGTTATGTCTCAAATGAATTCGAAGGTGCTCTGACTGCAAATAAATTTGCTCCTTGTGTGGTCGATTTTTTGTCATCTGATTTGACTCCAAATCATTATATTCAGATGGATGTGGTTGTATCAGAACTGCAAAGTCACAATGAGTTCTGCACTGTTACATTTCAGCTCTGCCAAAGGTAAAACTGTAACATTAAAATTCCTAGAGAAGGGCTATACACAGATGGAGTTGGACAGTGTTCACAGCACATCTACTACCCAGCTGATTATGTCAGGCTAATGGAAGAAAGTAGGAAAGTGAAGCCATATTTGACTCATTGTATCTTTTCTGATTTCATCAAACTAACCAACCAGATGGTCAAATTAAATACAAACTGAGATTTGATGATGACTGGTCACATCTGCCTTTGAAGTGTGGCGAGTCCACAGACATTCTCCATAAAGACATGAAGGGACTGCCTCTGTACCAGGGTAGAAAGTTTATTCGTCCATAGAGAACTTTAATAACACATGCAAGAAATGAAGTCTGTTGTGCCATCTGACTACCACAAGTTCTATGACAATCTAGAACTGAGTACGTCACCAGTGCGCAAGTTAAAACCCACGGTTAAGTCTAATTTGATATGCAGTGTATTGTGTTTTGGTTTATGTAGTTTATTTTTTAGCTAACCAGAGCTTTAGCTTCATTGGGTAGAGCATTTTAAAGCATCTTAATGGTGCTTGGACAAGAGGATAATTCATTCCTGTTGACACTAGATGCTGCTATGGCATACCTCATCTTGATGACTTTCTATGTAAAATGTGTTATTTAATTAGGCCATACATTAGGTGGAGAAGCATTATATGGGGTTTACTTGAGCTTTAAAAAAATCATATTACTTCTAGAGTCTTCCAACCAAGTTAAACCATGTTTTTAGAGTTAGAAGCATTTCAGTTTCTCCCACTGGAGAACTGATGGGTCGCTTTTCAATCTTGCTCAACTTCGAGCCAAGACCAAAATCAACAAACCAAACAAGAATACGAGACCTTTTCTTTGCCGGTGATGCTGCTGTTGTCGCTCATAATGAATCAACCCTACAAATAATCCTGTGTTTAAGAAGATTGAGATGGCTGGGCCATGTCAAGAGAATGGACGACAACCGGATTCCGAAGCAATTTCTCTATGGACAACTTGCCCAGGGAAAGAGACCAAGGGGAAGGTCAAATTGAGGTACAAAGACATCTGAAAGAACAGATTACCTAAGCTTGGAGTAGATGTCAGCATCAGTGAAGAAATAACCGAGGACAGGAAAACATGGAGGAAAATGATAAATGAAAGAACTATTATGCTAGTGACTAGAGAGTAAGAGAGTAAGAGAGCAAGCACTGCGACAGAATCTGCACTTCAAACAGGAAAAAAGTAGCCATAAAAGAAGCTCCATGAAGACAATTCGTATATATACGGAAATTCTTCTCTGCCCCCCCTCACTCCCCTCTCTCTCTGTCTCTGTCTCTGTCTCTGTCTCTGTCTCTCTCTCTCTCTCTCTCTCTCTCTCTCTCTCTCTCTCTCTCTCTCTCTTGTAGCTAGACAAGAAACCAATCCTTCTCACAATTTCCTTGAGAATGGAGGATCAAATACTAGCTTTATAGTAAAAACTTAACGACGCACTTAATCTGTCGACAAGCCCATTGCCTAATTAGAATTATGTGGAAATAAAGTGCGACGTTCAGTTTTAGATATAATAACAGTATTATTGTTAGATTCTAGATCTACAGTACTATGTAGTACTAATTAAAACTTTTATAGTAGGTTTCCTATTGGATTGACTGCAGGTGTAGTCATTTCGAGTTGTTCGGTAACACTAACGTGTCACGATGACTGAGTTAGACATAACGAAGTGCGTGGCGTCCCCGCCGGGTTGGAGAATTCTAAACGAACATTTCGTTTGTCGACACTTGGACGGTTAGAAATCCAAAACTGAGCAGTCTATCCATATAACTCTGGTTTAGGACTTAAAATAATAAAATTTCGGCAATTTTGTTTTAAATACTTAAAAGTAGAGTCATGTATTCCAGTCTAGCGCATTTAAAGACAGTAAATCCCCATAAGAGCCTTTGAATTCAGTTTTTTGTCTCTCCTGTAAAATTTACGAAATCGGAGTTGGACGGTTAGAATTCTCCGCCGACGATATATATTTTCAAATGAGTGTATAATCAATCAAACAATTTAATCTTTATTTGTCATATTTTCTAATTCATCTCTTTGCAAACACAGATATTTGTATACATCCACATGTTCATATTTAACGGAATGAACATTTTTGTCTATTATTAAGTATTTGAGCTAAGCCATATATATTGGCCTATAAATTTTTCTATAATTATGCATGAGCATAATAATTATAATATTTGCATATAATTAACAGGGTATTGAGATTACTACTTTAATTCTTCTATTTTCTGTTTTGTTGCCCCAAAAAACAACTCATCAATTTTTAGCTCATTCAATTCATAAATGTGAAAGTTATTTTGTATATATTGATTTTCAATATTCTGGTGCTTTTTGCCCTTCTTCCTTCCTCTCTAGGGATTTTCTCAAAATACTTCACAATTTCACAATTTCCGGCACGTTCACAGCCATAACTTTTAATTTTTGGACCGATTTTGAAAAGATAAAAAGCATTTTACTTTTGGATTATTGATGTTTGTACTTGTACCAGTGTTGTTAATAGGTGGTTGGTAGTACCCATCTTTAAAAAAGCTGTGGTATTAGTACTGCTAACTTCAGGCTAACTGTTCTGCTTGCTTGCTTGTGCAGTGTGATGAAAGTGAAGGCTTAGTGGCTATGGTGGTGCCATGAAATAATACGGTGTCTACCTGCTCCTCATGAATTTATTCATTAGAATGCAAATGTCTGAGCTTTACCTGGAGCGCTGAAAATTTTTACTTAAACTACATTTTCAGTGCTTTTCCCCCTGCACAGAGGGAGCATTGATGTTCTTCTCATTACTCAAAGTCAAATTTATGTGACTGTTATTGTATTATAAATAAATTATTTTATATGTCCATCCGATGACTATTTTTATTTGTGTATGTGTGTGTGTGAGAGAGAGAGAGAGAGTGTGTGTATTTGTGTTGAAAAGTACATGTATTAACAGTGCTGTGGCAAATTTCTGTTTGTGGGGATTAGTTTTAATTATCTTCTCTTATTGATTATCGTGTTTCCCTTTACCCAGTGTCCCCTCTGCTGTTTTCCTATAAATCCCAGTGCTATGTGTTTTGTGAACTCAGATTTTAATGAATATTACACTAATTTACTTCTCAGGTTTCTTGCACATGCCCGGGCTATTGATCCTTCTGGCAACGTGAGTATGTCATTGAGTGGGGAAGATATGGACAACCCTCCACGACGCACGTCTTCAAAAGACTCCGCCATTGTTGATGATGAAGCAGATGTCTTTGAAATCACAGATTTCACAACAGCATCAGAATGGGAACGGTTCATCGCTCGACTGGAAGAAATCCTTCATGAATGGAAACTAGTCAATCATGAGCCACGTCCGCCTGCTATGAAAAATCAGTATGCAAATGGAACGTGGGCAGAGAAGACAGAAGAAGTTATCTTCGCTGACTTCAGGTTCATGTTTTCCTACCTTTATTTAACAACAACGGAAACTTCTTCTCAGGAAATTTCCAAAAGCAAGAGGGAAGATCAGGAGGAAGTAGATGAAGAGCATAAGACTCCAACGGTTTACCTTGATATTATGAACTTTGATAATGATTTCCCTTCTCGTGCTCATTACCTGTGCCGATGGTATGGCCTTCAGGAGTTCTTCACTCTCATCCCTGTTAGTGAAAAGCAAGTAATTGACAGTGAAAGTAGGGCAAAGCTGCTTCTCAGTTCAGCATCAGTGGCTTTTGGGAACTCAAACTGCAGCATTCCAGTCTTTATTCAGCTTCAGCAAAAATGGAGGAAGCTGTTTACTGGCACATCGTTAGTCAGAGGTGGGAGCATTGAATTTGAAATGTCTCACCTGAAACGACTCCCTCCTCAGTACTGCCACCTGGCAGGCCTTCTTGATGTGTTTAAGTCCAAATTGGGATGTGTTTATATATCAATGCCTACAGTCTCTGTTGCTGTGCGCTTTACATACAAGTTGCAGGATTGGATTGAAAGCGCATGGCCCCAGATGCCTCCTGACTTTTCTTCCTTCTGTGATGGAGAAGTAGGGTATGGGGATATAGATTTCCTTCCTTTTGGTGCCTGCACTGACCCAATTAGCGAGCTTCATCTCTCCTGCACATGGCCCTGCTTATCAGAAGACATGATTGTTGAGAACAGCATGTACTCTGACCTTGACCCTTTGCAGGCCCCGCAGTGGACGGTGCGGCTTCAGATGACGGAAGACCCACAGTGCTTGCTGGGAGTGTTTCTCCGAGATTTCCTGAAGCTCTGTGAGAGGCATGAAAGTACGGATGAAGTTCTGAAGAAAGTCATCGGCGACGGGGATGCGGAGAAGGACAAAGCTGCTTCAGACATTAGCAATGCCTTGCACAAATTGACTGAACCGGTCCCATCCTTGTCCTCCATTCCCTCTATCAGTAATGTCATGTCTTCTGCTTCTGCCAGAATAAAGTTCAAACCAGAGGATGCTCCCATACCTGACTCTCTCTTGGACAAAATTCTGTATTTCCTCTTCCCAGACGCAAAAATTCCTCGGAGTTCCACAGATCAGAAAATGAACAAGAACAAGCAGTCGTCGTCAACTTCCACTTCCTCCCTTTCGAGTCCAGTATCTGAGCATGAAAGTGACTTAGGAGAGGTCAAGGCTAATGGGGAAAAGATGGCCGAACTGAATGCCGAATTGGCCAAGCAGCTTAAATCTGCCCCTGTGGATAGCTTGACTCAGAGACTTGGTCTGGCCTTGTGTAAGGTGAACCATAGCTTTGGTGGGCTCTTGGGAGTAGCACATTTGTGGCAGGAGTTTATCCTGGAGATGAGGTTCAGATGGGAGAACAAACACTTTCTTAGTGATATCGAAAAGGGCGCCCCGAATATGGGCTCCTGTCTGCTGCACCAGAAACTTCAGATGCTCAACTGTTGCATCGAGTGCAAGGTAAAGCGGGAGTCGGTGGGTTATGGCTATGGGCCTGACTCTGTCAACATTCATGACCAGTCTTTTGATTCCTCGTATGACGACAGGGACTCCAGTGCCAGGGCTAGCAAAGTGGCCAGCATTGTCAGCTCCAGCGATGATGATGAGGAATTCTTTGATGCCGATGATGACGAGGTAGCCAAAGCCTCAGCGCAGGGGGAGAAAAACTCTGAGGGCAAAACAAACAAAGGTGCTGAATCAGGGCAGACAGACATGAAGGGAAGTACTGAACCCTCTGAGGAAAGTCAGGGTAGAGATAGTGTGGTCAGTGCAGATGGACAGTTCCAGGATTCCATAACTCATCGACCTGTGGGCAGACTGGTACCAATGAAAAATGTGTTTCTATTGGCTACCGGGGAACAGTTGTATATCCCTGTAACACAGGAGCCATCGCCCATGACAGAAGACATGTTGGAAGAGCACGCAGAGGTGTTGGCCAAGCTGGGCACTTCTGCGGAGGGTTCTCAGATCCGGGCCCGTATGCAAAGTGCATGCTTGGTTTCAGATATGGAGTCTTTTAAAGCAGCAAACCCTGGATGTATTCTGGAAGATTTTGTACGTTGGTATTCACCTCGAGACTATGTGGTGGATGATGATGTTGAAGCAGAAGAAGAGGTGGAGATGGAGCAAGAACAGCAAAGTGCGGGTAGTGATACTCCTGCCACTGGGGAAAGGAAAGGCTCAGTGTCCTCCCCTGCCAAGCGTGGTCGTCTCAGCCAGAGAATGCAGATCCCGGGCAACATGTGGGTGGAGGCCTGGCAGAGTGCCAAGGCTGTCTCTGCTCGCCGGCAGAAGAGACTTTTTGACGACACCAAAGAAGCAGAGAAGGTTCTGCATTACCTTGCCTCGATGAAACCTGCAGAGGTGGTCTTACACCTTATGCCATGCGTGATCCACGCGGCAATCATCAAGCTGGTGGAAGAAGCGATAAACACATGTGTGCCTAACTCAAAGTCTATGATCGATACTCTTATCTCTCGAGCTGCTAAAGTCACCAGAAATTTTCCCTTAGACAAAAAGAAGTATGCTGAGCTACTTCGGCTCATTGAACTTGCAGAGACTGTGACAGCCCGAACGACATCACTTCGATCAAAGTTCACCAGTGACCATCTAGCCTCTCCAGAACAAGAGGGAAAGGAGGAGGAGATAGAGAGTTTTGTAAATAATCTTCTCACACAGTCGGAAGTAGCTGTGAAGGGCGGGGCATGTGGTCCTGCAGGGGCCATCATCCACAAGATGTTTATCACTGCGCAGAAGTCAAACAATATGATTCTCGACGACGAGGAGCAAGACGGGGAGGGTGGTGCAGCCCCCACACCCACCCCGACTATTTTGACTCTTGGTGAAGATCGCAGGAACAGACGTAAGAATTCCAACTTGAGTTTGCCATCGCCCTCTTCGGAATCAAAGTCAACAGCCTTGTCTGATTTCCCTGCCCCATGTGCCAGAGAGTACATCCTGCGAGCAATGGTGCCGCGGCCAGCTCCATACTCCAAGGTCCTTCCCCAGAGGATGTACTGCCTGCTCATGGAAAGCGATAACCGAATAGCTGGGGCCTTTACCTCGGACACTACTTTCCAGTAGCTCTCTCTAACAAGATTATGGTTATCTGCAATAGCGCATCATGTTTAAGTTTAAGAAATGACAACATGCCTCTTTACATTTTATTCCGTATTTGGATGACCAGGACTCTCTGTAGTAGGAATGGAAAAGTTTTGTTAGTTCATAAGTCATTATTGTTAAAATAGCTGAAAATGGTACAGGACTGAATGAGATTCTGCATTTGATAAAATTGCTTTTTTTAAATAGATTTCTTTTAAGTGCCGCCAAAGCAAATGTTTTGTCCTTTCAATAGCCATATTACACAACTTTGTATAGATGACAATGGATTTTAAATAATCCATCTTATGTCATCTGTAGCCCTTGTAAGAACTGGGTGTATGGTATGTGGAGTGTTTGTGACACTGCCGACAATATTTGAAAAAAATGTCTGTTCTAGCCTTTTTGCTTCATTTAGTCTACTGTTAGGACCGGAGGCACATGAAACTGTAATGTTATTATGAATAGTATATTTTTGCGTTCTTGTTGCCAAGGCAGTGCCGGTCAGGGGGAAGCATTGTTTGAAGTTGTGAAGTTTGTGTGCTGTAGAGCTGACTGTTTTCAACATTCAGTTTAAGGATGGAATTTTTGAAGTTTTTTTTTTTTTGGTGGGTTTTTTTTTGTGGAGCCCAGATTTGTTTTTAAGTTTTTTTCAGTGATATATGTTTTTGTTAACATCTGCAATTTTGTGATTACTTCCATGCAAGATATTGCTTATATTTTATAAGCTGTGTATTGCAGATCTCATCTGTGATGACAACGGTCCTGTACATTACAGCCTGTATACATTTGATCATAGTTGATTTGTTCTCATGAAAAACTGTACTATCTGGGTTATAAAATGCAGCCTTCCCTTAACACTAGTCTTTTATCTCATGCTCCATAGATAAAAAGTTGAGGAAATTAGCATTTTTATTTCTGTACTTCTGCTCTAGCTCAGTCAGACTTGAGAGAATTGTCAGCATTTTGCTTTGTCTACTGATAATGATCTGATATAATTGTAATGTAGAGACATAATTGTTCTCATTTCTCAACATGGATGTTATTTCAACAATGGTCTGACTAAGCTCACTTTGATTTAAGTGTCATGCAGCTCTTTAAGTTTCATGTAGTCTTCGGTGTTTTGGGTTATTTATGCATTTTTTTCCCCTTTTAGTTTAATGATAAGTCAGCATAATAATGGACATAATCACTTCTGGCATTCTACCAACGATGTGTACAATTCTCTCTGCTCATGATGTGGAAACTTGTAAGCTTATCACTTCTGATTATCTGTCGATAATGTGTAAACTTGTAATGGTTTATGAAAATCATTTCTGGGTCTCAGCTGATGATGTGTGAAACTGTACTGAGAAGGAAGCTTTCGTCTCATCTTCTTTTCATTCATATCACTCAGCTTTTTCCTTCTTTTAGCAGTGATTTCATTCTTTTGTCTTCATGTGTCAAAGACAATGGGCGACGAGATCACCACTGTAACTGTTAGGTCCTACTTCGTTTTTTTCCTTCTGCCATTTCTGTCTGTCTGTATTACTCTTTCCCTGCACTAAAAGACTGTTATTATATCGATGTGCTTCTCTTCGCTCTAATTGTTCATCTATTTTTCCAATTAAATCACTCAGGTTCTTGCTGATTTTGAAAATTTTATTATATTTAATTCATTTGAGAAACAAAATTGGTGATAGCTTCCCAAACAGTCATCTGAAGCAACTCATGTCTAATGTGTTAGGGTAACATTGTGGGCCATGGCCACCTTTGTGAGCTCCCTTGGCTCTCAAGCTGTTTGTGGACTGACCTCAGTGGTGTAATAGTAATTTAATAAATAGTTCAATAAATGTGCCGAATTTCCTCGAAAATCTGGAAATCCATATATTCGTGAAATTGTCCACAGTTTTCCAGACTTCAAGTCAATCATTTCAAGATTTTTTTTCCAATTCTTAATTATAAAAGTCTTTATACAAGATTATGTATTTAACAAATTGATCTTTAAATCTAAGGTTCCTGCTCATGGTTTTCCCTGAGAACTGTAACCTTCAGCTTTTTTTTGTTTTTTTGAAGTCAGTTGGCACCTCTGTATAGTTAGGCTCTTTGCGTTACTCACAAAAAAAAAAAAAGACTTTTGATTCCCAAGTGAGGTAGTTTGTTTTGTTTTGTTGGGTTTTTTTTTAAAGGGGGAGGGGGGGGGGGTGAATAGAGTATCTCTTCCATCTGTCTGTGGGGAAACTATCTCCTCAGCCTGTATTGTCCTTGACAGTAAGGGTTGAAGCTGCCCACCTCCAAAATGATTTTGATTGTTTTGGTGGAGGAGTAAAACAGTCTGTCAATTCCCTGGCATTATTTTACTCTTTTAAGTTGTTATTTCATTGTACAATTGGTATTGGGTACTTCACATCTAATCCGTTGTTCTCAACAGAACTAAAGTCTTCAATTGTGATTTGAAGTGCCATGCATCATGCAGCAACTTTGTCTTGGCAGACATTTGTCATGGAAATACCGGTAGTATCCAGTCATAGGCCTTTATTAGGCTACCGGTTTGCTGATTACATCACGTCCTACGATGATTGAAGAATTTTTTTCACACTATTCTGAAACACACTTTTTCTGCAAGGCACCGAGTACAATTTATATGCCATTGTTCAATGATTTTGTCAATTATTTGAGTTATGTTATAAATTTTATTTCCTGTACCATACCATTAATACCAACCGAGGGTGCAGTTGTGTGTTAACAAGAGATTTTGCACTTCCTGCCTTCGGGTTATTTTCTTATTTTCTTGTGCACTATGTGCGTCTATGGTACAAATGACATGTTGTACATACATAATTATGCTGTTTTTGCGCTTTGTTGCTTCCTTTTTGCATCTTTTTGTTTTGTTTTCTTGTCGAGTTTCTCTTGATTTTTATGGCTTCCCTGTCAAAAGATTGCTTTATACTTTTTTCCCTTTTTTGTGAAAATTTCCTTGATGAAATAAGACTTGTTATAACATTTAATCCTAACGTTGGTTAATGATTAATGTGTGAGATTTCTCTGGTTTCAGGCTTTTATTGTAAAGCAATTGATTGTTACGTTGAACTTGTATGTGTTTGTGCTTGTGTGCTCTTGTGTACGTGTGTGTAATTGTGTTATAGCATGTGTGTGTGTATAATATGTATAAAGAAGCTGATTCTATGTTTGTATGTCTGCATGCAAGATTGAAGAAAAAAAAAGCGAGAGAAAAGGGAGAAAGCTAATTCATCGAAAAAGAAGGGGGAACAAGTAAGAGAAAGAACAAATTACATTAAAAACCATATATAACAGGCTCAGTAATAACAGGGATCGGGTAATAGCAGGGATTTTTGAAATCTCTGGTTTTTCTTACTCTTTGTCTGTATTAAAACTTACCGGCAATAACAGGGCCTCTTCGGAGCCCAATCGGTTATAGCAGGGACAAAGGCTCATTAACAATGTGTAAAAAGTAAGAAAGAGAGTAACGCTGTGATGGAGCTAGCCCACACAAGCCACACCACTGCAAGCACACACAGCAGGTGAAGCAAGAGAGGGCTGCAGGGTGCTGCAGATTTCGATCTAGCCCTAAGCCTAGCTACACAGCGTAAGGTGTCATGCGCAGGGTACTTGTGGCAAGGGAAGCTACCCATGAATAAATACAGCTGGATTTGTCCACTAGTGCTTACTTCCCTTGCATTTCTGATGTAACAGGACTTTTTCTCTGGTCCCACCATCCCTGTTATATCAGGTTTCCATTGTAGTAGTACACACCAGCGGAAAAGAGAATGCAGTTTGATTGGATTCACTTTGGTTTTTCTTCCCTTTGATTTCTTGTGCCAGATCTATTTATTTCTATACGTCATACTCCTGTAGGCTCTCTAAGCGTGTACACAAGCTGCCCATGTGGCGTAATGGTAAACTCTTTGCTGTTGCTGTCAAAAGACACGAGTTCGATCTCTCTCTCTCTCTCTCTCTCTCTCTCTCTCTCTCTCTCTCTCTCTCTCTCTCTCTCTCTCTCTCTCTCTCTCTCTCTCCCTCTCTCTCTCTCTCTCTCTCTCTCTGTTTGTATGCTAAGATGTTGTTTCCCACTCAGCCTGGGTAAGCTATGGCAGGTAGGGTCGGAGCAGACAGCCCCCTCTGCGGGACTGCCGGATTTTCTTCAGTCTTGCCAGGATCTCGGTTCAGAATTAGAAAGATTGCTCAAATAGAAGAAAGCGAATCGGGGATGTTCTTTTCTTTTGGTTTACTGCTATTATTGTTGGTTTTATCCGTGTTTGGTTAAATTAAGTGGACGCTGCTGTAAAGTATGTTGATGTAGGTTATACAACTTTTACAATCATTTTATGTTCATGAAAATAGCACTCAAACTGTACCGCTGAATAAGTGCAATTTAAGATTTAGGTGCAGTTTCAGTGACATTGTGAATACATTATGTGCAGCTGTTGTGGTCGGATTGTCCAGGTAGGCGTCCTGATCTAACAATAGTCTGTTATTGTCCTTTGTGGACTAACAGTGTGTTTTCCATTACTTAATGTAAAGCACTTCAGTTCTTTCAAGTCAAAGTGATCCAGAGGAAATATAAAAATACCTCAAGCTTTAATGACTGGTCAGCCCAAAAGTTGAGGTCTGCGGAAGTTGTTATTTCTTTCTTTTTTTTTCCCTCCTTATTTTGTTTGTCCCGTTTGCCTTCGCTTTCTCATGGCTGTCCAAGTTTCAGGGATATTCTTTTCTTCTATTTGCTGCTGTTTGTGTTCTGCATTTGGACAAGCTACGGATCATAGCTTAAAAAGAAATGAAGGATTTTATGCAACTATATTATTGTCATTATGTTAGATTCAGATATGTTTACTCGCTTAACATGAAATTTATAAATATTATATATTACTGATATATATCGATGTTCAGTTGAAATGTCTACTTGGTGCTGTATTTTCATTCATGAAAAGGGGGTTATGAAATCCCCCCACCCCAACTATTAAAAGCAGTCTCAGAAAAGTATCTCTCGTACAACCCTCAACAACTTCTTTAGTTCTTGTTTTTGTTTTTTGTCAAAGATTAAGTGTGATGAGAAATGTTTTTTCTAGTAATTTTTTTTAACTGACTAATAATACATGTAGTAGAGGATGATGCCTGGTCTGTGTCCTTCACTGCCAGTGAAACAAACAGGGATTAATATTGAAATGAGGTTGGGCTTGTCCTGACACTTCAGGATTGTTGTAGACAGTAAGAAGTGGAAAAAGACAACTCTTTGTGAAAGTTGGTACATATTGAGTACATATTTTGTATGGTAAGGGTTGAGGTTTCTAGTATCTGAAGTTCAATGGTTTGGCTTTTTACCAACAGAGGATTATAGTTCGATTCCCAGGTGAATTTTTTCTATCTCGGTCTGTCTGCTGGGATGTTGCATCACAGTCAGTTTGTGTTGGACATGACAGGCAGGATTGGAGCAGCTTGCCACCTAAATGATTGAAATTGTGCTGATGGGGGTGTAAAATGTTTGCAATCATTGTGCTGAGTGAGTCTGAATTGAAGCCAATAGGATATTACTAAAGGTTCCTAATGGGCTTACTGGTGCTAATAGAAGTAAGTTTGGTGTTGAGTCAATTTGTTTGTATTCTTTGTAATGTATGGAGCCCAAAATGTTATTTTATGATTACTTATTTGTCACAGCACAGTGGAATCCAATGCTCGTCATTTTTTTTTTTTTCGCAATTGGAGTTGAAGGGGGTGGGATCTAATGCTAGAGGTAAAATTAGTGAGAAAATTCCCGCTAAAGTTTTGGCGACTTCCAAAGCTATATATTATAGTTTTCTTAGAAACTGCAAATGTACTTTTTTGTAAATGTCTTTGGTCAACTTTTTTCAGTAAAATCCTTAGAGGAATGTAATGTATTTTTTTAATGGACATAAAATGTGTTGATCCCGAAACAACAAAAAAACTAGATAAAAATTGCCTAAAACTCAACAGGCAGAAAAATGTTGGTTTCTTTGATTTCACTATTTTGATGAGCGCCTGATATTCACCAGGAAGCCACACATTTCTAAGGCTTTGTAACAAGACACATTTTTGTTTAACCCTATCCGTACATAGTGTTTTACTATTGTATCAATACGACGTTGGGAACTCTGTGCCACCACTTTCCAAAGCAGAAATTTACTGGTTAATCCAATCCTTATGCTTTGCATAGCAGTCTGTCAAAATTATTGTTTGAGAAATGCTGAAAGTTTCAAAGAGGTCTTCGCACTAGAAGTATTCTACGATGTGAAGAATACAACCCCGGGGGTACAAAATGGCCCCGGGGCATACAGGTAGGGTTAAAATATGAAGAACATTAGAAAAATCCGTCTAGACTAGTTTATTGAGGGTCTACATGCTGTAGAAGAAGAAAAAAAAACCTGAATTGTAGAAATAAAGAATCATTGGCTCCAGCACATTTAATAATCAAATACTTTTTAAAACAACAAAAAGATTTTAAGGATCCTGGCCCGTGATCTGAAGGCAGAAAATTAAAGGTCAAACATCCGAAAATCAATTTGTAACAAAGCCTTTCATATAGTTGGCCTATACAATGAACAGAATTTAGAAAAATGATTTTTATGCCTCATCATATAGGCCTAGGCCTACATCGTGTGTATGATCGTGTATGTTATGCTTACGTTTTGCTACAATTTTCATTATATGTGTGCTTCGACTTGGGACATGTTTTTTGCCGCTTCTTCCAGAATAATTATTGTGGACATTTGAATAAAAAGTTGTAGTTGTTTTTGGCTGTAGGCTGTAGGGGATGTAACATACCATACATACATTGATTTACACTATGGTCACTATTATTTTTATCGTAGTGTTTTCTTTGAACATGTTTTTTTTTTTTTGGTTGTTGTTTTGTTAATGTCTTTATGTATTTGTATGTGTTTTTTTGTGCATTTATTTGTTTTATTTGCTTCTTTATTAGGGCAAGTTTGTGAGAGGCATACAGGGTGTGTTTGAAATTTGTGCTGAATAATATTTTTTCTTTTGAACATCTGAAAGTAAAGAGCTGTTGGATGTTTTGCATGTCCTGCATTTTCATTCTAGATTTCTCTTCTTCAATTTGCTTCCATTTTGTGAAATTTGATAAACTGTTAAATGCATGGTGATTTTTGTCTGGAGATTTGATTGAAAAATATTATTTATTACGGCATTCTATTTCTAGCCTTTATGTCAATAAAAGTCATATTGGTCTACTCTGAATTTGTCTTGTGATTTGTTCTTTTTGGGTATTCTTTTTTTCTTTTGCCTTCTTGTAATGATAATGATGGTCTCTATGCTGTTCTTTATTTATTGTACTCATCTTGATTTGCTCACCTTTGATTAGTTTGAATTGACTAAATTTACTTAGCACAGTGTTAGTTCTCGCTAAAGGGGCAAAAAAGCTCTTGATAAACGAATTGAAATTTTTTCAATTGTCAACAGATTTTAAAGACAGTAATTCTGTCCCTGTCTTTTTATGCAAGAAAAATTATGAAATTATGCAAACTAAGCCCAAAAATGTGAAATCATGCGATTCTGTAAACTTTAACTAAGAATGATAAAGGAAAATAATCAGAAATTGTGCAAGAATGATCAAATTTTGCTAAATTATGCGGGGTGCATAAAACCACGGGGACAGGTAATTGATGGATACTCTGTTGTGGTTTTCTACTTCTTTATAATTTTCACAACTCTTACCATAATAGTTTTCCTGGTCAAATTTGTGGCACGGCGCTGTGGATTCAGGCCTCTGTTAATTTTTCTGGTGTGGAGTTAGTGGTTTCATCTTAAACTTAAAGCTTGTTCATTTGTCCCGCATTTGATGAAAAAATACCCATCTTTTTTTAAATAGAAGTCAAGATATTTCTGATTGAAGAAGGTGGGGGTCGCCTGATTTCAGAGGTAAAATTTATTGAAAAAAATGACCACTTAAGTTTGGTAACCTCCATAGCTTGAGAGTCCTTGGGGAAATGAAAAATTTATTTTTTTGTGTGCCTTTAATCAACTTTTTAAATAAAAATTCACCTAGAAACTTGTTTTTTAATAGATAAAAAAAAGTGATTGGTCAAAACACCAGAATTTGAAAAAATAATTCGAAACTGGCAAAAAATGCCATTTTCTTCGATTTCGTTATTTGGAGAGTTCCTGATTTCACCAAGATGTTTCACATATAGTGGCTGTTGTGCCAACTTTGCAGTACTGGTAGTAAACCACAGCTCAACATAGTGCTCAGCTGGTGA